CAGGCTCCCCCGACAACTCTCAGGAGTCTCCTCTAACGAAGAAAAATTTTGGCTTCCACCCCTTGTTAGAAGAAGGTAGCCTAAAAATCAGAGACTTTGCATTTACCCTCTTGGCAAAGTACAAGAAACCCAGCGAGGGAGAAGACTTTAGCTGGAAGAGGGAAGCAAACTCTTGAATGGAGGGAGAAGAGTCGTTCCCACTCTTGAACCAATGGACAAGAAATCTGACTAGGAGGCCCCAACCGTTGGGAGAAAGTCGGGCCAGACAAACATTATAGAAACCAAGGACATTTTGGATAAAAGGATGAACAGGGAATCGAAGACCAGCCCGAAACGCTGATTCAAAGAAGCAGGTCAGCCTGGGAAGCGAAGAATTGCACCTTTTGCGTTTTTCAGGCGAATGCAATTCCATTGAGGCAGGAAAATGATACTCCCGCCTCAATTCCTCTAGATTGTCATCATCGATGCAACTGGGGGTCTCTTCCACACAACAGGTTAGGTCGGAATGATCTCGACGAACTCTTTCTCTAAAAATGGAAGGTGGTACTGGTTTAGCCCTCCCTTTCCTCAACCTAGAAGAGGCGGTGAGGACCAGAGATGAAAAGGGGCGAGCCTCGACGGGGGAGGCTGAAGAGGAAACCCCAGGGACAGACCTAGAGGCCGCCTCGCCGGTAGTAAAAGAATGATCTCTGAGAGAGCCAGAGGTGCTTTCCCCAACCTCCTCACTAACCAGACCCTCGAAACCTGACTCAGAAGAAGTAACGACAAATCTCCCCATCACAGTTTCAACTGACAAGCCAGAAGGCAAATGCAAGGCACAGTCTGTCAAGAACAAGGGTCTCAAGCACCAATCCCTAAGAAAGGATATCCTAACTGAGGAAGAGCAGTCTACAAATTGCAGAAGAAAAGAGAGGTCGTTGGAGCCACTCCTAAAATAACTGAATCTCCAAATCAGGAAAGGAAACCCGAAACCCCACCAGGGAGGGTTGAAGGGATCCAAATTGAACAGAAAAGAGAAGAGGGGAAGAAAGACGTACCTAGTAAAACGCTAGAAGCGGGTGAGAACTGGGAGCATGGAAACTCTAAGTCGATAAGAAGCTATGAACAAGACGCCTCGAATGTTGAAGGGAAGAGGAGGAGACAAGAAGAGAGTTTTCAAAAAGGAGAGGAGTGTAAAGAGGGAAAGACAGGAAGTCTTCCCCCTCTTATACACAACATTTAAAGCTGTGACAGGCAGGCGAAAGAAAACGCCAAAGAATTTGCACCACTCGGATCGCCCGCAGGTGACACGTGTACGAGCCATTATAACTGACAAATACTAGCGCATCGCAAATCATATCAAAACCAACTGCCGAACTTCCCTGCCACGTAAGAATAATGAGGAATCCGGAAAGGACATCTTTAACCTCAAGTCAGAGATGACATCATCCTCATGACCAGGGGCAACTAATAAGGGTAAAATTCTGGGCATGGGCCACCAACAAGCCCAATGCCCAAAAAGCCATGAGGAACAGGTGGAAAGTCCATTGGCCCATTTGGGAGCACCTACTATTAACCCAAGACAGAGAGATGAAAGGACGAGTCCCGAGGGGTAGTGGTCCAAACCCGGCCCAATCAGGTACCAGCTAAAGAACAGTCCGAAGAAAAGAAATCGGATCTCTGCCTCGGAGTCGTTCCGCCGTGCCACGCGTCTAGAGGAAAAGAGGACCATCTCTGAAACTTGCGATAGCTACATTCTCCAGCAAGCAGAAGAAGGTGCAGTATAACGCCTCAGAGATCGTGGGCGCAGTGGCACCGACTGAAAAAGTCTTTTGTAGGCCAATGACAGGAGGTCCCCACATGATCAGTAAAAGGTAGAAAAAATCGTCAGAAACCACAAAGAAAGACGACCCGTATATAAATAGAACAGTACCCTACAAAAATGGCATCCCCAAGAGAGAGCATTGAAAAACCGAGTCCGTTCTATAAGCTAAACACCAACTCTAGTAAAGGTCCAGCACATGAATCCCGCCTGTGTATATCGGAGCTTTAATATATAACATTAAAGAGTAAGAGACTCCATTGCAGTGGACGTACCCTCGGTCTATTGGCTAAGACGAACCACTTATTTTCTTCTTTTCCTCTTTGATTAGACAGTCCAACCAACTAAACTCGCTCTGACATCAAACTCAATTACTTCACTTACGTTGGGTTTGAGCTGTGATTTCCGAAACTCCATCAGATCACTTCATAGATTAAAATTTATCACCTTTTGTTATTTTTTGTTTACTTTTTGGTATGATACCAACAAAAAAACAAAAAAAGGGTTGTTGTTTGATTGTTTTATTGAGTTAAAAATTGTTTCCGTACTCGGTTCCATTAGAAGACTAGTTCAAATAAAGCCGAAGGGGACTACGCGCTTTAGTTGGGAAAAAAAACAGGAGGAAAGTAACCCGTAACCACCGTTAGGTATATTTTTTATCATCCTTCAACTTGGTCAATCTATGCAGACTATTATATATGAATATGAATATCCGCCCTCCCCCACCAAAATATATATATATATATATATATATATATATATATATATATATATATATATATATATATATATATGAATATTGTTTTTCAAATTTTAGAAAAAACTGGAAGCAAACCAACTTGACATATGCAAAATTGCAGTGTTACAACAAGACATTTCCAAAAGTATGGATTTTCAATTTGTGTCGTAAGCAGTGACCGAATAATGACAGAGGGCCACAAAATGTTAGGTATATCTTTGATCATCCTTCAATTACCACATCTAAGGATGCTTCGTGTTGGGTTTCTTATCCTGGAGAGAGATACTATTGAACCTTTAAAGGATATCCCATTTTCATTCTATGAACCTTTAAGCTTATTTTTCTCTTATCTTTTTGGCCCACAGATTGAACCATCTGGGGCTGGGAGTTGCAAAAAGTATACAAATCCTATAGGCCTCCCTTGAAGCTTTCAGAGAAAGTTCAGAGTGCAGAACGGTATGATATATACAATTCAAAATATTTTTGCTCTTCCGAAATTTCATATTTTACATAGAAATAGCTCATGATCTTTTGTTATAGTTCTAAATTATTCTTTTTTTTTTCCCTTAGAAAATATATATTTGCTTTGGTTAGATCCAAAATTTCAAACAAGTTTGAAGATCCAAAGGCTATCCGAAGAAAAGTAAACAAGTTATGGCAGAGATTGCTATATCCTTTCTACTCGACGAACTAACATCTTTCCTAAGTGAAGAGGCAAGACTTTTGGGTGGTGTTCGGGAAGAAGTTGAGCAAATCAAACAAGAGTTGGAGCACATGAAAGCTTACTTGAGAGTTGCCGATGACAAAGAAAAAAATGATCCACAACTCCAAGTTTTGGTTAAGCAAGTGCGAGATGTTGCTTGCGACACCGAAGATGTTCTTGATGAATTCATGCTCCAGTTGGCGCATCATCACGGGGATGGCTTCTTTGGTTTTCTTCGTAAGATTGCTTGCTCTATTAAGAATCTGAAAGCTCGGCATCGAATTGCTTCTGAACTACGAAAAATAAAGTTTAGAGCGGATATTATTTCAAAGAGTTTCGAAAAATTTAGAAACATTGAGCAAGGCCCAAGCTTTGGTGTCGTTGGTGACACTTGGAATGATGGTCGAGGTGATGCACTTCTAATAGAAGAAGTTGATCTTGTGGGCATCGAGAGACCCAAACAACAACTGATTGGTTGTCTTCTTGATGATGATTCTCAACTCAAAATGGTTTCGGTTGTGGGTATGGGCGGATTGGGCAAAACCACGCTGGTGAAGAAAGTCTTTGAGAATGAACGATTGAAGTCACAATTCCAAAGCCACACTTGGGTCACTCTTTCACAGTCATTCAACATGGTGGAGCTCCTAAAGAACATGATCAAACAACTCTATGATGAAGCAACGAGGGAAATGCCCCAAAGAATGGAAATCATGAATGACAATGAGCTGAAAGAAGTCATCAAAGAATTCCTCCAAGAACAAAGGTACGTGGTTGTTTTAGATGATGTGTGGAGCATAGGTGCATGGGATGGCATCAAGTATATATTTCCCAACAACAATTGTGGTAGTTGTGTAATCCTTACCACTCGTATACTTGATGTAGCAAAAGCTTCGTGCTTAAAATCCCATGATTATATCTATGAAATGAAGGCTTTGTCTAATAATGAGTCATGGGATTTGTTTTGTAAGAAAACCTTCAAAGACAAAAGTTGCCCTTTCCATTTAGAAAAAATCTCACGAGATATATTAAGAAAGTGTGAGGGGTTGCCACTCGCAATTGTGGTACTCGGTGGTCTTTTGGCTTTGAAGGACAAAAGTAGAGTAGATGAGTGGGTGATAGTTCAGCGCAATCTCAGTGATGAACTGGATGACAATGATAAACTTGCAAGGATAAGTAAAATATTATCTCTCAGTTATTATAATTTGCCTTACTATCTCAAAATTTGTTTCTTATACTTGAGCATTTTTCCCGAGGATTATGGGATTGAAATGGGCCGAGTGATTCGGCTGTGGACTTCAGAAAGATTAGTGCAAGAGAGAGGAAGAAAGCTAGTAGAAGAAGTTGCCGAGGGCCATTTCAATGAACTTGTCAATAGAAGCTTGATCCAAGTTGTGGCGAAAACAAGAGATGGTAGACCGAAAACATGTCGTATCCATGACATTTTGCGCGAACTTATTCTTTCCAAGTCGAGAGAGCAGAACATTGTGAGTCTGGCCAGCGGACAAGAAACATTGTGGCCAGAAAAAGTCCGACGAATAGCAATACACAACTCCTTTAGAAATATACATGAAAGCAAGTGTTTTGAACGACTTCGCTCTCTGCTCGTATTTGGAAATGTAGAAGGGCTGTGCAATTTATCTGTGCCTTCGATCTTGAGTGTTGGTTCTAAGTTACTAAAAGTGTTAGACTTAAGTGGTTCTTCATTGGAGAAATTCCCACCCGAGGTTTCTGAATTCGTTCATCTTAGATATCTAAGCATGAGGGAAACAAAGGTGAGATTCGTTCCAAGATCTATTGGAAAGCTTCAGAACCTAGAGACCTTAGATCTGAAACATACACAAGTAACGACGTTGCCTATTGAAATAGGAAAGCTTCAAAAACTTCGATATCTTGTGTTTCATGGTGGGTTTGAAGTTCCAGCAGAAATAGGAAATTTGTCATTCCTTCAAAAGTTGGAAAGAATCGATGCAGACCAATTCAATGGCAACAGTATAGTGGGAGAGGTAGGGAAGCTTACCCAACTAAAGTCTTTGAAAATTTCAGAGTTGAGAACAGAGGACGGAAAGATCCTATGCTCGTCTCTTGAAAACCTGAGCAACCTTTGTTCATTTGGTGTTAGTTCAACATTCACAGAACGGTTTGAGTTGCTTGATCTAAAGACATTATCTTCAGGTCCTCCACTTCTACGAAAACTCTCCTTGGCAGGACGTCTAGAGATGACACCACATTGGATGGCTTCTCTTCATAGTCTGGTCTTTCTACGACTAGCGGGGAGCGGATTAAGGGATGGCCACCCATTGCAATGCCTACAAGGTTTGTCAAATCTCCAACGTATTTCATTTGCAGCAGATTCGTATAACGGGGAGGAATTATGTTTCCAGGCTGAAGGGTTTAAGAGTCTCAAAATTTTAGGCCTTTACAATTTAAAATCACTGAGATGCGTGAGATTCGAGCAGGGTGCCACACCTCATCTTGAAAGGCTAAATATTTGGTATTGTGATTTGAGGGGGTATCCATTTGGAATTGAACATCTAACCAACCTTCGATCGATTGAGCTAGTTTATGTGGATCTGATAAAGCCTCAGAACTTGTCAGATGGAGATAAAGATGCATGGAATGATAACAAATTTGCACACATCCCTCGTAGGGATATCCGGAGTTACCAACGTTTGCCTGGACACCCATCTTCGAATAAAAAAGAAAAGTTGAAATCCGTATCCTCATGATTACTTCTTGTCTCCCTCAGAATTTGTTGATTTTTTTTCTAATTATTCTTTTCTTAGTGTGTAATTAAGCAAGTTCAACTATGGTTTTGGCGAAAAAAGGAAAAAATAAATCCAATGTTATTTTTTGTTTTACTTTATTCAATGTCCTTATATACGCTAGTGTCATTTTCAAGGAGTGGGCACTGTGTAACCATCCAACATTTTTTAAAAACAATGGAGCACACAAAGGAAATGACATGTAAATTGCTCAACATCATTACTAAATCAGAAAAATAATGTTAGGCAATTTACACACGTGTTCCAAAAAAAAAAAGAGCGAAAAATGAGTTACTACTTGTCTTGTGAGAAACAAACCATTGCCTTTACAAATACCTCTTCTGAGGCTTAATTTCCTAACATCAATGTTGGGAGGTGAGGGACTTCCCTCCGGGGCCTTGCCCGTGAAGGAGGTGGTGGTCGTGGCGCAGGCAATACGTTACAATTTTCGATTGACATCATTTATTTATTTGATATCGGGGAATAATATCCGATTCTCTTGGTACATAGCCTTTTTAGTGGAATTACCACGCACTTTGCAATATTTGGTTTAGTCCCTATTTCGCAAAATTGTTTTTCTCTTTTGGTAAAAGAAAGGTTTTAAAATGTTAAAATTGATAGCCTCTCAACCAAGACTAGTTGAGAGCGCATGTTACTTCACCGAGATACCATCAAGTGTCGGAAGGCGTTGGAAGGCCGCATTAAAGACAAGACAATGTTATATGAATGAATCATCATGTCATTTGGCCTTACTACGGTAAGGTCGGGGAGAGCGCATCTCATTTTTTTCAAGATCTTGTCTCTTCTCGATGCATTTTTCATCGGCGTTCTTGCCTATATACTTCCAAACATAACAAAGTAGCTTAGGAAAAGCATTGCAACTTTTATAATTACGAGCAATGCACGACATGAGTTGGGCATAAATATATTTAAATAATATTTTTTACATTAATTTTTATTTTAATTATTATCAAACCTAATTATTGATTTATTATACTATTCTTCGAGTATCTAATATGTTATTTGTTTAGGTATCTCTCTGACCCCTTAGATATTCACTCTTTTGTTTTATGAATCTTTATTGTAATTATATTTTTGTCAAAGAAATTGATTAAATTGTAATACTATTGTTTCTATTGTAATAATATGATTTGTTGTATACTAAAAAATTAACTATAACATATATTGGACTGTAGAATAATAGGATATAGATTTTATTTTATTTCTTCATATAAATATAGATATAGATCGATAATTATATATAATTGTATTACTAATAAATAAGTTTAAAAGAATTTAAAAATTTTTATAAAATAGTCTAAAATAAGTTGAAAGTTAAATAAGTGTTAAAAAAAATAGATGAAAGTATATAGGTGGTGTAGTTGATTTTATTTTAACAATTAGAGATAAAATAAAAAATTAAAAAAATTTCGCAGACACTAACATTTATAAATAATATAGATATTAATTATATGTTGGAGAGTTCTAGTTCAAATGGGGTTTGCTCACATAGAATTATTATTCTATTAAAAAAAGGTTAGTTATGTTAGTAGTATTTTAATAGAAGTAGGATTCTTATTATGTTTGTTTAATCTAATCTACTGGTGGACTTTAGATTGCAAGACGAGGCAAACTTCTTGATTGAAGAAAGAACAGCGCTATGAGCACCTCCACCTCTTAGTGAAATTTAGAATTTGAATAAAAAAATTTTAAAAATTTGTTCCAACCTTAAACTCAAAGTTATACCAAATCAAAGAAATTTATTTTTTTAGTAATATTAAGAGAGACTCAAATTTTTATTTAAATGTTTAATGGTGAGATTTCACTATCTTTTAAAGATCCAATGATCATCTTTACTCACTTTTAAATTTGAGTTTGTTTTCATTTAAATTTGGGTATCTGTTTTTTTAAATTTGAGTTTGTTCATTGGAGTTATTTATATCAAATCAAGATTTTTACTTAAATGTTAACTTAAATTTGAGTAAAAATTTGAATTATGGTTGAAAATGCTCTAAAGAGACGTCGTTTGAGGATTTGATCACAGAACCTATTATTGGTGTTCCTGTTTTATTGCGGCACGACGTCGTCCATCGTTTGTGTCTTGTTTCTTCTTGTCATTGATTTATTTTGGTAGATCAACTCGTGTGTGTGACTTTTTGTGGTGTTCTTGATTTTTTTTTTAAATCCTACAATTCAAATGTTGCAAAATGCATCTCTCCCAATAATATGATTTTTGTGATCAATTTGTTCTTCTCCATATTATTTGCCATATTTTTGGATTGCGGCGACTTAAAATTTTGGTGGATTTAAAATTTAAATACGTATAACCTTATATATTCGAAAAGGAGCAATACTATTGGAACATAATTTAGGGACACTGGATTGTCAGTGGGACTCAACATTAAATTAGCAGTGGGTCTTAACACTATCAATCCAATGGTCACGATATATTAAGTCTCCAAATTATGTCCCTAAATTATGTCACAATAGCATTAGTGTTGTAAAAAACATAGGATTCTAAAAATTGTGACTATTCAGGCGATTATAGCGAGACATAAGATTATCTATAGGTTATTTTTTATGCCTTAGAGATTCAAGGACTTAAATAATTTTATCGATTAGAAACATGTTCAAATTGTGGAAATCCAAAGCAATCTGGAAGATGAATCGAACACTGGACTTAGCATTAAATGAAAGAAATAAAAGATCACTCGGAGTGATGTATTACATGTAACGTAAAGGTTGTTCGGAAGCAAGGATTGAGTAAAAATAGGCTAGCTCTGCAAAGAGTATTTGTAATTTGATTGTGAGATTCCCTTCTAATAGCCTAGTCTATGCTATTTATAGAGATGATTCTCAACCGTTGATGCATCTTTTCATGATCATACCAACTGATCGTAGTGGCTATGGGTCAGGTTACGAAAGGTATTCGATTGATTTGAGCTCTATTGTCCTATCATCTAACTAAACTAGTTCACCGGCGAGGGTAGGCAACTCAATAAGTAGAGTCTAAAATATTAGAAAGGTCATGTCCCTTAAAATACGTGAATGGGTGCCGAATCGTTTTCAACTGACGACTCATGTTGTCATGTTTTCTCGTTTCTTGAAATTACAAGAGTCCTATTCCTCTAACCGTCCTGTCGGTTGTGGACTCTCATAGAGTCCCTTATGACCATTGAATTCTCTCCATGTGTCACACTCATATTTTGCTTTTTTTGGGTGTAAACATTGCCCCCCTTAAAAGGATGTCATTGAATATTTCACATTCGGGGCATCGTTTTGTATCCTTTGAATTTAAACTTCTATCGCTACATAAACCTTACTCAGCTGTCATACCACCATTGGCCAAGGTGCTCAAGGATTGCGGGTAATGCTCCACGTGTAGTCCTTTGGTCTTTCCTTAGTCTTTCTAGATCTGCAAGGAATGGTTGGCACGTGATCTGTCCATATCTTTTTAATCATCATTTCAACATGCTTTCAACGCCTATATAATCTACTTCTAGACCTGGTATTTTTTCATTATTTTGACTTTCTTCCTTCTTCAACAACAATGGAGACTCCTCGTGTTACTACTTTTGAAGTAGCTCTTTCTCGAATGTAAGCTACTTTGTATACTCTTCGTATCTTCAATCCACTTTTTGATTCCTTTTCAACACACGAGACATACCTTGGGCCCCGCCTTTAGAGAGATGCCTCACAATGAAGTGCAGCGTATCTACCTAGACTCTCATATGTGTCTACCTTTCAATTTCAAGGAACCTCTCCAGTGGACAAACTGGCTTGCTAACAATCCTGTTTGTGCATGGAAAACCCCTTTCCTTGATTGAATTTTATGGGTGGCACGTGTTAAAGTAGCCAAAGATTTTCTTATGATGTCGTCTCAAAATTTATGATGTCGTAGAATTGAGTATTATTTCAATGCCTATTAACAAGCCGCTACTCAACGCTGCTCTCTTATTTTGGTCTGTGATGAATAGTGCTTTCTTATTTTGTCATGGCATTATGAGCCCTATGGTATATGAAATTGCTACCCTCGTCGGTCTTCTTCACTTTGGGATTGAGGCTAATGCTCTAGTTACGTATTCAAAAGCGAACCTATTCTTATTTTCTTGCAGCCAGTCATGACCGTGATGGTTTTGCTATGTCATATCAAGAACATATCTCATTCTTGCTTAACTAGTTCTTGTTCTACACTCTGTTTTACAAGGTGACCAAGGAGTTTATCCTACTGGCCTTCTTCTTGGTCGCGTGATCTTCATATTTTCTTGTCCCTATCATGCTTGCCTACCTCTATCGCAGAATGTGGGAGACGGGTGGCGTTGAAGATGCAAAGAGGTTCAGGTCCTCTCTAGGTCCTTCAACTATGATTTTGTGCTTATTTCACAAAGCTCTCCATTCCGTCTGTTGATAACTCGTCCTTTTTTTATGATCATCTATTTGCCACTATCCCATCTAGGGAACAGTCATTTGTTGACTATTTCTCTTATTTGTATAATTTGAATGACTCATAGCCCATCTGGATGTCGTTTTCCCAAAATCGTAGCCCCGAATGGTTCTTTTAAAATCCTGGTGAGGTCTTATTTCTTAGGAGTTTTGTATAATTTTTAAAATATGAGAGAATATCTATATAATAAAATCAATGTCAGCGATTATGGTTATATTTACCTTTGTTTCTATTATAAATTAACCACGTCGCAAAGAATATTAAGTGCAAATGATACATTGCCAAAATTTGAATATAAGAAATTAAGCAGTCATTTGCATTTTTATTTTAAAAAAGGGACTTAATTAATATTATTTATATTGGTTAATAAATGTATGGAAAAAATTAGATTTAAAAATTTAGGATTTGTAAGAGGGAACAAAAAATTAAAGGTTCAACTATGATATTAAAAAATAATTTTTTGGCCCTCTATTCAATTTCAATTCTTTATCATATCAAGTCATATTCAAAACGATTATGATTATTGAAACCAATTGTAGCCTTATTACAGGAGAAATTCTCTTTGAATGGTGAGATTTATCATACTCAATACATTCAATTCATTGTAAAGTTTTAAAATTTAAATATTACTCTTGGAGGATGTTCTCCAGCCGCTAGCTGCTATTCGACAAAAATGTGGAAATTGGAGATCCAAAAGTCACAGAATCCCCCCTTTTTACCCACCACAACCCAATGACCCACTCAATCAACCTGATGATACTGAGTGATGCCAACATAGACCACCGGGTGAACTCAGAAACACCGAAACCCTAATTATCGAGAATTAGTGTGAACATGAACAAGAACAAGAACAAGAACAAGATGGGTAGTGAGGCTTCACCGGTGGAGATTGTGAATATAGCGGATGACGACAACAACGGCGACGATGATGAAATATCACTACTATATGCAACACCCATATCCGTCTCACTCAAAAAAGGAACCACCCCAAAAATTGCTATATCAGTTGAAGAGTACTCCGATGACAGAGACCTCTGGCTTGCTATCATGGCCTCTCTATCTCGATTACCAAAACCCAGTACCAGTAGCAATACCAGACCCAAAAGAGAAAGGATCATCGACCTTTCTCGAGATTACCCAAATGATGATGAAGTTGAAGTCCAGGTGTTAGACTCTTTCCCTCCACCATTTCCGAGAATCAGAAAGCCCTTTCGAGGCCGCCCTTACATTTCTGAACCAGGACAGTCTTCCAATTCCAAGCCTGACGATAGAGATATCATAATTCCACCTTTCGTGTGTGAAATCTGTACTGACCCAAAGCCTTATAGTGACTCATTCTTCATACCGGGTTGTACCCACCGTTACTGTTCGGAGTGCATGGTGAAGTACGTGGGGTCAAAGCTAGAAGAAAACATTTGCCAAATTCATTGCCCTGTTTCGGGATGTGAAGGGCTATTAGAGCCGGAGAATTGCCGTTCAATTTTGCCGCAACATGTGTTTGATAGGTGGGGCAAGGCGTTGTGCGAGGCGGTGATTGTAGTTTCGGAAAAGTTGTATTGTCCTTATAAGGATTGTTCAGCGCTAATGATTCATGAGAGAGGTGGAAATGGTGAGGTGATAACCCAGTCGGAGTGCCCCAATTGCTGGAGGTTGTTTTGCGCGGAGTGTAAGGTTGAATGGCATTGGGGAATTGTATGCTCCGAGTTTCAGAAGTTGAATAAGGATGAGAGAGAAAAAGAGGATATTATGTTGATGAATCTTGCCAAGGCTAAGAAATGGATGAGGTGTCCTAAATGCAAGTTCTATGTTGACAAGTCTCAAGGTTGCTTGTTTATGAGATGCAGGTTTGTTATTTCTTTTTCCTCCTTGTGCTGCTGTTTTCTTTTTGTCATACTCTCTGGGTGTGTGTTACAAAGCTTTGGATATGAATTCCTTTTGCTCATTCATTCTCAACTTGAAAATTAGACTGAAATGCTTAGCAATTTCACCAAATAAATAAGCACAGGAAAAAAATTCAGGGTCATCAAATATTATTTCTTGTAATAAAAAAGAGAAATCTCATGGTACAATCCTCTTCCCGTCGAGCCCCCTCTCTCCTCGGTTCACAGTGACAAAATGTGGGACTGGTGCCAACAGTTCATCACGGAAGAAAGGACTCACTAAGCTGGGATCACTAACTAATACTAATCTAATATAATAGAATCTAATAGAAAAGAATTGTCTTTTCTGTATACTTTCCCGGTTCCGTTGCTATTGTGGGCATTATGCAATCGATTGGATTATATAGTTATCCCATATCATTTCTTGTAATAAAAAAGAAAAACCACATATGTGTGTGTGTGTGTGTGTGGTCTGTTCCCCCTGGGGCTGGGATTGACCATGAATTACAAAATCCATACCTCGTTGTGATCTGTCTCATTGATTGGACACACTTATGTTTGCGGATATAGTCTGCCTCTCTTGGTCAACTTTGTGACTTGGCCTGGTTACAAGTGCATTCTTTTATTTTGTTTGAGGAGCGGCACTGATGTAAACTAGAATGATGGCATTTATGCAGTTGCTGGAACTGGAAGTTGGGCTGGTATACCTGATGTGATATATCTTGGTTATTTTGTTTTAGCTTTCTCCATTCTTCTCCTTGTTACATATGAATTTCAAGCTCATGCTAACTGGTCCTTGGTTTGTGAATATATTCTAATATTTCAAATCTTATTTATACATAATGGGGTGTTTGATTTTCTTATAAATGCTGTGCTGATTCACAATTAATAACATCCTTTGGTTGTTCACAGGTGTGGATATTGTTTTTGTTACAACTGTGGAGCTCCTTTAAAGGGCCACTACTGTTCTAATTGTAAGCGTTAAGTCTGCATAATTAGTTAGACATTGGCTTCTTCAACATTTTTTTTTTTTGGCTTCTTCAACATCAATGTTCATCTTTAAGTGTTTAAGGCAGTGCATTATATGGAAAACAGCAATAATTTATATATCAAATAATTGTCGAAAATGAAATCGTGCCTTTTGATTCATTTGTGCTATTTGACATCGTGGAAATGTTTCTTTGAAGGGGGAGGGGGGGGGGGACCATCATGGAAATGTGGATGGACTTTTTGGTTGGATGGTATATTCTTTTTTTTTTTTGGTCGTGTTACATCATTACATAGAAAAAAAACTTAGCATAAAGCATAAAGCATAAGGATAAAGACAGAGAAGGCGCTAAGATAATTATCCTACCCAACTCCATCTCTTGCTTCTTTATCCACCAGTTGCATGATGCTCACAGGCAGGTTAGTACTCCAGTAAGTAGGCAAATTGCCATTCCTGGTTTGTGAGGCTATCAGATCAGCCAATTGGTTTAGTTCCCTTTTGACTGCTTTAAACTGAATTGAAGGGAACTTCTGCATGTACCTACAAATATCATCCTGCTAATATCATCCTGAATAGTTTCCGCTTCTACCAACGGTTTCGCTTGCCCATTTGACAGGGTGTCAATGAGTCTTTGAGTCAGTTTGTATAATCACAGCTTGGCAATGCTCTTCTACGGCCAACCTGCATGCACGCCGTACAGCCCATGATTCAGCAGCTGTGGATTGTCTCACTTTGAGTATCACCCTATCTTCGTGTATTTTCACTCGGTAAACAAACCTGATTGGTGTTATATTGACTTCAAATTTCATTTAAGTGTCTTGTCCTGTAGGCTCAAAATTTAATTTATGGACATCTGAATAGAGGGTTCAATGAGCTGGCGTTGCCTTGGTTTTTTTTTTTTTTTTCTTTTCTTCCATTGAATAGAGGGTTCAATCCAAGAATCCTTTGCTCAGCATTTTTTTTTTCTTTCGATGTCTTGGTAAAGTTTTCTTCCGATGAAAATTGACATGCTCATCCAATGGAGGCTGTGGTGAATTCATAAATGAGCAATGATCAGCGGATATGGGTTTCGCATGAAATACCTACACTTAGTCAAACAAAAGACCAAGGGTTGACCGAATTTCTTTTGACAAGGAAAATAAACTTTCAAAAAGGAGAATCGCAGACGAATCATGTTGTTTCAAGCAAATATAAACTTGAGTACGAGTTTTTTTCTTCCAAGGGGGAAGGTCTGGTGTAGAAGAAGAATTACTAATTCTTATGTTTCTATTTTTGCTACCTAAAGCATGTCAATTTTCATAATATATGTTTTATTTGTGTTTAATAACTTTCCTAAGACTAGGGATTTAAGTCTATTTTAGAAACTTTTATTGGTTTGAGAATTCTATAAATTTTCATATGTATTATTACAAGTTCTAATCAATGAATTGAATAATACCAAATTCTGAGAGATTTCTTTTCATTTTCTCTATAGATACATAGGGACAATGATGCCTTTATGTTTTTCTTGTTTACAGCTGTGTCACAAACACAGGTCTTTAATGGCTGAACATGAAATATGGATAAAAAGAAAGTAGTATGATAATGGTTCAGTACCCTAATAGTTCATTAATTTTGCAAGGAAATGACTATATGATTCAGTACACATGGAGAATTTCGTCACTTGTGTAGTATTGTGAAAGTGATTGTGATGATCCCCTGTTTTGAGATGCAGACCTTCATTCTTCATCTGATTGTGTTAATGAAATCATAAGTATGGTTGTATTATGGAAATAAATTACTCAAGACCAGATATAAAAGTTACTCCAGTGGAAGGTAGCCAAGATGTGCCTGCAATAAAACTTCCGACGCTATATTTGATAGCCTCTTCTTTTCCAATAACATGGTAGCCCGATCACTGTACCCTATTGGCAGTTGCAGCACCCGGCCTAACATTACAGTATTCTGCGAAATACAGTGTCCTCAGAATGGAACTCCCAGCCCCTGGCCATTCCACCCAACCTCTCGGTGCAATTGCCTCGTCTGTTGTGGTTTGCATTACAACTGATCTCGAATTCTCTTTCCAAGGCCTCCCAAGATAGGAATTGTACGAGTGTTTGACTGGAGAAAAATCAGTGGCTGTGGTGATCTTGCAATTCTGAATGGCGAATCCAGTGTTCTGTCCTGGGCCACTCCTTCCATTTGCCAAGATTACGTTGTAGGCACTTGAAGTGTGCGGCTTACGAAGCACTAGATTGCAGTTTTGGAAAACAGCTGCAGCATTTCCGAAGATGAAAAATCAACAGTTTCATAAATATCGCACTCCCTGTAGAATTGACGGAGCGTGAGGGCATATAATGTATCCTGGTAGCCCGCGATGCTACATCTATATAGGACAGAATGGTCTGAAGCGACAATAAGTGCCACCGCTTGCTCTCCTTGAGGGCCAGCTGTGTTTCAGAACCCGATATCCCTCGCTATGAATCCGTCACCTGTAATTGCTGTACAAAACAAATAGATTGTTTTGTCGGAGTAGGATATGATAGGATAGGATACCACAGCATAGCAAGGTAAGGGCAAACTTGCACTTGATAAGCATATAATCTATAATTAATTTGAGCGATATGGATCTTGTACAACCTCAGAATACAAGTAGTTGGTGTAATTATCTGACATATATCTAAATTCCAAACAATAATCATATTATAGATAAGAAAATGCTATTGCCTATTGGGATCAAATATGGTGATTTAATAGAATAGAATAGAGTAGAATATAATCATTAGATTGGCTTTAAATCTTATTTAATGTTGTGATTTACTCTTTTTTGTTACTTTTATTGCCCAGCAACATTGATCTTAGAGATGTGTATACAAACGCAGATCTATAGATCTAAGGATTCATTAACAAATGGGTATCAATAGTTCTATTCAAATTTAATTTATAGATTTAATTTGTTCACATAATTTATTTGATTGTTACTAAACCTCATTTAACATTAAGATTTGTTGCTAATCCAAAGACCGCAGATCAATAAATTAAGGGTTAATTATAAAATACCCCTTTCAACTTTGGGTAATTTATCATTCACCCTTTCAAGTTTTAATTTCAACAAATAGTCACCTTTAAGTTTGAATATTTTATAATTAACTTCAGTAGTTAATGTTAGACCATAAAAGGTGACTATAGAATGGGAGTCAGAAAGAGGCATTGGGTTGCTCAGGAGAAGGTTACCTTGCCTAACTCTGAAGGAGGTTTGTGGTTGAGGAAGTTTGAGGATTTGGCAGGTGGCCTTTAGAATGAAGCAAATTTGGAATTTGATGCAGGGGTCTTCTTTGTGGGCCCAAGATTTTGCTGCTAAATTCTTAAAGGGTAGACACATTATGAGGTGTGTAACTGGAGGTCATTCGAAATGTTTGAAGTCCTTAAGGCCGTTTTTTTCAGAAGGTTGTTATGAACTCAAGAAGGTTGATTGGGAAGGGTGATCAGACTGATTTTTGGTGTGATCAGTGGCTTGATAGTGGGCCTCTTATATGTAGAATGGATGCTGTGCCTAGTTTTTTTCCAAAGGTGTGTGAGTTGGTGATGGATTCTCATTGGCAGCTCAATCAGGTGGATGGTCTGTTAAGTGATCAGATGAAGGCAGAGATTTTGGAGTATCAATTGTCTCTTTCTAATGCTGCTGATAAGCTTGTTTGGCAGCATTCTAAGTCAGGTTCATTTTTCATAAAGACTGCATGGAATCTTGTGACGCATCAAGGTGAAAAGAATGTAACTGCTGAGGCCATATGGAATATGCAGACTGCACCAAGTGCTCAATTAGTGGGTTGGAAGATGCTTATGAAGGCTATCCCGCTGGATTCCAGAATTAAAATGTGTGGGATTCCTCTGGTGAACTGGTGTGTTTTGTGTGGTAATGAGGAGGAAGACGCTGTTCATTTGTTTGTGGAGTGTGAGTATGTTAAATCCATTTTGAGAAGATTGGCTGCGATGGCAGGATTTCAGCTGAAGCTGATTGATGGGGAGTTGCCTTTGGTCAGAATGCAAAGAATGTAGAATTTTTAAAAGAAAGTCAGTCTCTGTTGCAGCTTGATAAGGAGTTTGGCTTTATTAATTTTCTGGCAAGTCTGGAAGGAGAGATGCAGGCGAAGGGCTGGGGAGGGACAACTAAACTCCTACTCTATTTTTCTTAGGATCTGTAGTCTCTTGAGATTTCAGATGATGAATGTTGGGCCTAGAGTTCTGGATAGTGGTAATTGCAGGGGGCTTTTGCAGATGCTAGGCATTGTTAAGCCTTTTGTGGTTTGTACTAGAGCCAGCTGGGTTTGTTGGGCTTGTCCAGAAACTGGGGTTTTAAAGCTTAATGTGGATGGCGCTGCAAAGGGGAATCCTGATCCTACGGGGGGAGGGGCAATTCTGAGAAATGAATGGGAAGGTATGGTTTTAACTGCCTCTTTCTTTTATGGGATTAATTCGAATATGGGTGCTGAAATCAGGGCCCTGCTGGATGGTCTCAGTCTGGTGAATAGGTATGGTTTGACAGAGTATAAAGTCTTGATTGAATCAGATTCATTGGTTCTGGTACAAACTGTCAAGGGCAAGATGGTTTGTTCTTGGTCTTTTTTGGGTATTCTTGATCATAGTAAGTAGTTCCTGAGCAGAATGCAGTTTGAGTTGCAACATGTATATAGAGAAGCAAATTTTGCAGCTGATGCCTTGGCAAATAAAGCTGTTCAGGATGGGTGTTCTTCTGACTTTTCTGCGACTGATCAGCTGCCTGCTGTTGTGAGCCAAAGACTGGTTCAGGAACAGAGGTGCTTGCCTGTTTTGATAACCAGAACTGTGTTAGTTTTTGATGATCAAGGTTGATAACGGAAGGTGGTGGACCTTGCTATTGGGTATTGTGCAGGTGGTCCTGCTGCAAGATTCAAGGCAGCTGCCTGTTCTTCAACAAAAGATGATGCTGGTGTATGATGACAAGGATGAGGTTGGTGGTTTGGTTCCAGCTGTGATGATTGGATGCAGGATTCAGGTGGTATTGACGCAGTGGAAGCGGATTTATGACTCTGAAGGAGAGATTTAGTTTTTATTGTTTTGAAGAATTAAAGCCTTCAAAATATGGACAAGATGGCCTCTTCTATGATTTTTTCAGGATCTGGGTATCCATGAATCCTTTGAAGTTATTGCTGCATCATCAGCAAAGGAATCAAGATACTCAAGATTCTGTCATTTTTTGATTCTTTGTAACATGTTTTGTATTGATTGCTTCTTGTAATTTTTCTTTTTTTTGAAAAATGAAATTCTGGTTTCTCAAAAATAAAAAAAAATGGCTGCTAGTATCAAGTTTCTTTGCTTATTTATCTGCCTCGATCTCATCAACAAAGGTATGTGCCACGTACCGTGAAGAAAAAAAATTCAATCTTTTTTTGATTATCCAATTGCTTGAAGCATTTTATCTTGTGCTCTTTGAGGTTATCAAATTGGTAGCATTTGTAGTGTCTTTCATGTTAGGGATATAATAACATTCATATAGATTCATTAATATTCACAGTTGAGAAAAGATGATGATAAATTATAGTGATACTAGTTATTGTCTATGCTTAAAGATACAAAATAATAAAAAAAAATGATCAACAATAAATATATTTATATTTACACCTAAAATAAAATTACAAATATAGAGTAAAAAAAAAAAAATTTAAGCACCAATTGTAGTGGAAGTGAACGGTGGTAGTGGTGGTGGTGGAAGACGATGATGATTGTGGTGTGTGGCGATGACTGTAGTGATAGTGACAATCATGGATAGCAATGGTGATGCTTGTGGTGGATTTTTGGTGACGATAGTGGTAGTGACAGTCGTGGGTGACGACGGTAGTGGTTGTGAGCGACGGTGATGTTGATGGTGGTGGGGCAAGGACGGTGGTGGGTGATGGTGGTGGGCAGTGATGATGGAGGTAGTGGACGACGACAGACGTTTCTGAACGACAGTATGATGGATTGTGATAAATAGCGGTAGTGGTAGGTGTGGTAGGGGTGGACGATAGTGGGTGGTGACAGTGGTGGGCGATGACAATTGGTAGTAGTTGGTGGTGGTAAGTTTGATGGAGGTGGGTGACTGGCAATGATGGGTGGTGGTAAGTTTTATGGGGGTGGGTGATAGTGACTAGCAACAATGGTGGACAATGATGAGTGGTGGTGAGCAACAATGGTAGTGGTTGGTGTTGACGGTCGATGATGGTGATAATGGTAATAAATATAAGAATGCGATGAAAATTGTGGTGGGTGGCAGTGGTGGTAGGGTGGCGGTAGTGGTGGTGATGATGGTGGCAACGAGTGGCGGTAATGGTGGTGGCAATGATAGTGGTGCAGGTGGTGATGGGAGCGGCGATGGCAGCGGCGGCGATGGCAGTGGTGATGGTGATGGTGATGGTGGTGGTAGTGGTGGAACGGTTTCATGTACAATTTTTTTTTTAAAGTATTTATAAATAGTTATAAATTCTAAAAATACTTTTAAAAAGTTACTCTAAACATATTTTTAGAGAACTATTTTTCCTATTAAATTTGAGGTGTTAATATTAACCATTAGATTAACTTTAGAGTAAAATTTAAAGAGATCTCAACCGTAAAAAATAAAAGTCATTTTATTTATCTTTTAAAATTTGAATTGTATTGTACTTTATTATATAGATATTTATACGTATCTTGTTTATTTCTCACCCTATAAATAAGATTGAATCTTACGTAAACAACCTCCGAAAAATAAACATCAATGTAGCTCATTGGGCGTTAAGTCCATGAACGTATGCACATAGTTTGGAACAACGTTTATCATTGCCTTGTTTTCTCCCATTTTTTTTTCTATCTCTAATCTTTTATATTATGAATTTCTTTACTTCACGTTGCTCACGCTCTAGAATTGACTAATTCTCCCGCTATAAACCGCAAAATGACACGATCCTATGACTATTCTAGGGGTTGGCTATGTGTACAAAGTATATTTAATTTGTATACGATAAATCTTTTTAATTGAAATTTTATGATGAACATATTTTACCTGATTTTGACATGATAATTTATTTAATTGGCATTGTATGTGATTTTGATGAACTGATTTTTTAATTTTTTTTTATTTGTTTACGGGTGCCTATGGGTGGTTATTTGCGTGGGAGAGAAGTGAGCCGATTCTTTTTTTTTTGGTCTTGACTTATGCATGTCAATACAAATGAGTAAATATTGATTACAATGACGATACTACATCAGTATGGGGACGTAGTACCACAACCTAATAAGACGGCACCTTACATGCAGGATATACCCTGCATATGCATGTATTATTCGCTAGATTGCATACAGCTCTATATTGTATAACAATGTATCTACAAGTGTGAAGAAGCCTCCATTCTGCCTATTCTAACTTTCTAGATTTTTTATTTTTAAAATTACTAAAAACTAAATGGCTTCACCTAATTAGTCTTTC